TATATATATATATATATATATATATATATATATATATATATATACAGGGTGATAAAAAAACCACTGACCATTTTAAAGGAGCACACTTTATACTGGAAATAAAAAATACGTATTCGGTTTTTTTAAATACTTAACAAGCAACAAGAACGGTGAGAGGGCAGTGGGCGGATTCAGCGCGGGAGTTCATGTATTTGACAGACAACAAAGTATTAAACTAACGCGCGATGCGTTAGTGCAGGTTGCTTGTCGCGCGGCGCGACGTGCTGGCGTCTAGGCGTCTAGACAACTCAGCACCAATCGCTCAATTTTATTTTCTAATTTGAGTTATTTTAAATTTTTATTGAATTAATATTCAATTATTTTTTGTGAAATTACTCCACTAGTTTGTTCTAATTATTAATACAAAGATCGAACACTCAGAAAAAAATCCTTCGATCCGGCCGGATTCGAACCGATGTCTTCTAGCTTACCGTGCTAGACGCTATACCAACTAAGCTACGGAACGAACCAGTGGACCTCACGAATTTTTCTATGTGCGTGTGTCGTGTCTTTGTATTTGGTTTTTCAACGACTCTTTAGTCATAGCGCGATCTATGAGAAATCTATGAAAGATGTATCATCCAGTTAGTACCTTTACAGCTACCAGTCCCGGCGAGAGATGTCGCTATTCGCTGTATTTAAAATTTTTATTGAATTATTTTTTGTGAAATTACTCCACTAGTTTGTTATAATTATTAATACAAAGATCGAACAATCAGAAAAAAATCCTCTAAATCCGGCCAGCTTCGAACCGAAGTCTTCTAGTTTACCGTGCTATGAGTTAACCACGCGTTAGAAATTATTGCGAAATATTAACATAAAAGAAAACGGGGAATTTTTTTCTGTTTTATTTCAGTAATGTTTTCTATTACTGAATCTTATGCACAGGATGATGGCCAGTGATTTCTTATCATCATGTATAATACCAAGTGACAAGTGACAAAAGTCAAAACTAATTGAATAACATGGTGGTTGAAACATCCTGACATTCAATAAAATATTTAATTACTTTCGTGTTATTATTATTTATACAAATATTGAACAGTAAGAAAAATTCCTTTGATTCAACTATGCTCCACGCAGCGACCTTGCCATGCCGCAGCTGACGCTTTCCCAACTATACTACGGAATGAACCGAAATTAGTGGTCATTATCAAATTCCAAGTGTAAGTTCGTACTTAAACCACCTTAAAAGTTAAAAACTTTTTTATAAAGGTTAATCTCGTGTTACAATAATTATTCGATAAAGCAAAATTAAAACAACACAGCACGCTTTTAGGCATCAAAAAACCTGGTATCTGTAGAATCTACGAAATCAGGAATCCTAGAAATAAAAATACATACATAATATACATACTATATGAGTATAAATAACAGAACAATAAATATAATAGAAGCGCTTAAGCGTGAAACACAAGGGTGCGGGTTGAGAGCACGGCGGGTGTAATTAGTGGCTATAAGTATTGCAGGTTCTGGGTCACCCGTTAAGTGGGAATGTGGACTTTATTGTAAAGGGCGAGAATGGCTTGGCAGCCTTTAAAGGGGCTTTGTGAAGGAGTTAAGTCGTTTTGTTTCTGAACGAGTGCAGTTGTTGGTGTTGAGTCATGGTTTGGGTGAGTCTTATGATGGTTCGCATACGGTTGATAATGGTTGGTATGGGGTTACGTGGTGAGTTGTGACGTTTTGGTGGTGTTGGTGTGGTGCTGTGGGGGTCGCGGGATCAGGTAATGTTGGTTTGGTGTGTTGTTAGGTGCAGGCCGCATGTTTGCGACGAGCTGTGGAGTCAATGATGGGTGAACGTGCGCGTGTGGCGGGGCGGGCATTCCCCCCTTCCACATATACAATCATATCACCCGTTAAGTGCGAACACATTTCCACGTGGCCCAGGACCAGCAATACTTAGCTACGATAATTCCATGTATTTATATGAACGACAACATACCACGCGCGGACGCGTCACAGACGCCATATAAAGTCCGACCCGCACCCATTTTCAATTGTTTCCACGCTTTAGTGGGTGTGACACGTGTGCCAACAGAACGCGGAGTTCCGCAAACTTGAACTCAGTGCGCCATTTTTACCTACACGTTATGGTAGTGTCAATTATTCACGCAAACCCTAGAAAAATGCCTTATTTCGACATTTTGGGATCGAAAAATTATAGTCGCACTTATAATTTTTACGTAATTTTTATCAATTTTCCATGAATCTGCTTTAATTATTATAACAAAGATCGAAACACTAAGAAAAATTTATTCGATCCGGTTGGATTCGAACCAGCACGCTCAGGCAATCGTTGTCATATGCTCTGCCAATTAAGCCACGGAACGAACCAGAACCTTAGGAATTTTTGTATGTGCTTGTTGCAGATCTTTGCTTTTTATTTTTAACGACTTTTTTTGCCGTAGCGCCATCTGTGACAAATTTATTTCTTCAGTGCGGTACCTTTACAGCTACCATCGCTGACTAGGAGTGGCGAGACGTCCATACAACTAAATTCCCACCGGCTTGCCTAAAATTTTCCACGTGTCATCAAATATTACAAATATAAGTAATTTACTAGGTTTTGTTCTGAACTTTACGTGTACAATAATTAACCAGTGAAATAAAGTGTAGTAGTATCTTGTGTGCTAATGAGCGTTGTGTTTAATTGTCGCCAAGGCGCCACTTGTTCAGGCAAGTATTTTTTGTTTTGCTCCGGCTTCACTAAAGGCCATTTTCACTTCTCGCCACTACTTGTCACTATGTCGCTTTAACAATTGTAATTTTTAAGTTTATTGAATTTCACATGATATGAAATTATATTTTTGTGAAATTACTCCGCTAGTTTGTTATAATTTACAGTTTTATTTGCGTCGATTTCGTGCGCCATGTAAGCCGAGTTGCAAGCACTAACGATGCGAGCAGTTTCTTTGTTAGTTTTACCTGCCTAGCACATTCTCTGAGGAAATAGGGGGAGGCGAACTAGGCACTCACGCTCCATCACATATACACACATACACACACACAGACCTATACACGACAATTGATATTAGTAAATTTATTTTTCTACCCAATGTTGTAATAATAATATCACATATTTTTTTATTTTGTATACATAGTGAGTTTCTGTAATTGGCTTTTGTACTGCTTAAACACATTTATCAAATAAGTTTAAGAATGCTGTTGAAACTTTGATCATTGAATAAAATAAAAATAAAATAATTATTATAACAAACACCGAAACACTAGAAAAATTCATTCGATCAAAATAATTTAATATCATGATAGTAAAACATCGTGACGTACTATAAACTTAAAAAATAAAATTTACCATGTTTTTCTTGTTTGATGTAAAAATTTAAAAATGTTTTCCATCTTTTTTTTATAGATGAGTACTTAGCAGTTACACTGGACACACTTAAAACAATCTCACCTCTCACGAATCTGTCCAAGAATGATATCTGCCTTCGTGTTCAACCTTTGGAGCAGAAGAATCAGCAATATGGCGTCGTGATCACCTGATGAAAAAAATGGACAAGAATAAAGTATGCGCGTGACTTTCTATGAATGTGACTATAGACGGTTGTGCCTGCCTACGACTGTGAATGGGTGATGTGACTGCCTATGAATGCAATTGACCATGATTGTCCATTGCCCATGTGAATATCGATTGTTAGCAACTACTAATAATAATGGTAGATACTCAGCATCGACTATATAACCAGAAACAGAGACGAAATAAGGGCCATCCCCAGCAATTCATCAGGCAAATGGGCCTTATATCACTTTTAATTATCAACTCGCGTTTGCGCTGAAATCACAAATTAGAAAGCTGTAATAGTAATTATAGCAAGGCTCAAATTAAACAGGTCAATTTGAAGTGAAACAATTGACGACACCCGTCAATTGTTTTGAATCGGAGCGCTGTTGTCACCATAATGAATTTGGCAGAATAATTTTCAAAGAAACGAAATGACATTCCCGTCTCTATTTCTGGTTATATACTCGATGAATCTCAGTAAATAAATTGGCAACCCTATGCGTCTGACGCGTCAATCACATGCGGTATTTCCCCGCCTTACTTTTAAAAGGCCCGGTAGTGGGAAAAGGCGTACAGGGGAGATTTAGAAAGCGAGCTTGGCCATTCGATTATGAGGAGCGGTAGTGCACAGTAGTATCAAGAGGAGATTGTGTCCGAGTTAAGTCAAATTGTAAATAAAAATTGAGTGATGCAATTTACGGAGTCTACATTCACGATGGACATGACGGTCAATAGATATGATTGTATCTGAATATGGCTGTGGAAATAAATAACTAACTAACCTGCAGGTTGCATGAAGTGGTCAGGTAAGCAAGCGGCGAGCATATCAGCTCTGGCTCTAGCCTGAGTCAGCTCCAAGGCACGCAGCTGAAGGTCGATGGAGCGTGTGGATGCGCGCGACAGCTGGACGAGGGAGCCAAGCTCCACTGGGGGTGACGGTCGAACCGAGTCCGAGTCTTGCTCAGAAGGTGCCGGGGAACCTTTAGAGAGATAAATCAATTAGCACGATATTCTCACTGTGCGAACTGTGGCCGTAGCATGTCATTATATCACATGCAATGAGTGATAAACATCCCCGTGACATATTTATCTCAATTGATAAAGCTATGTTTTCATTATTACTTTTTTTTATTGCGAATACTGAATAGGTAAGATACCGCACTAGAGTCATTCGATCGTTTGTTTATTTGGTAATGAACTATTGTTATATATTTTGAAGTACAAGGATAACGATATGAAATTGTGTTTATAGCTAGCTATCTTTGTCGTTTAATCATCGCCGCGCAAACGACGAAACAAATAATGCCTGGGGTTTGTTGTTTCAGTTTTTACATATTTTACATTATATTAGTTATTATTTACGTGTTTCTAATTAGTCTCATGTCACAAATGTTCTCACCTTTTACCAACGAATAATTTATACAAATAATATATAAATATATATATCAATTTATTGGTTTTTATTCATTGACTTACAAATAAATGGACGACGGATCTAATACAAAAACCACGAAAAAAATGTCCCAAGTCAACCTATTCGAAATTTAAATTGTAATGTCATCGCAGTATCGCGCTGTCAGTAGAACAAATGAAGACTAAAGCGGAGTGTGGCGCTCTGTATACGATTTTAGCGCCTTACAAGTGCGGACACTTTTTAGCGCGGACCCGACGTCCATATAATTGTAAGTCAATGTTTTTATTATTTATTTTTAATTTTATATCGTTTGTTGCGCTCAATTTTCACGTTAATAATATTACTGTGATAAAATGTCAAAATGTTTTAAAATCAGCTGTAACCTTGCGGCCATGTTTAGCAGCGCGTGGCGCTCGCGATGCGACAAAAATGTAACGTCACGGTGCTCGCCATGTTAGCTATTGTGATAAAATTTTAAAATAGCGGTTGTATCACTCGAATTTGCAAGCTAAGTGTGGATATAATAGCTTTACCCCGGCGGCATGCTATGGGGGCTGAGGTCGTTACTTATCAGGTATTGAGGCTATCAGCGCAATAGTGTCAGGGCAACATAATTAGTAATCATTAGAACGTTGTAACATTCACAATTTAATCATTTTTGGCAAAACCTACTTTCACAATGTTTCGATAAAACTGTCAACAACTACTACATGACTTTTTAAAATTTTATGAAAACTGGCAACCTTGCAAATATAATTATACTTCATCTTCAAAAAAGACAGACTATAGTAGTTTAAAAAAACGACATGATGAGTAAATAAAAAATTCAAAACCAGTCCGAAAAAGCAATCCAGATCATTAAGTCCAAAGTAAAAGAAATGTTGATGGTTTTATTGCACTATTGTAATAGAAACGATAAGTCGTTCCAATAGATGACATTCGTCGGTGCAAATAATTTTTCTTCAACTATACCTTGTTTGGACTCAAGTTGATTACGCAGCTCATTATACTGTTCGGTCATCTTTTGAACCAGTTCTCTGAACTTGTGAATGGTGACATCCCGATCCATTATTGTCTCTAGACTCGCCTCGCGTTCGCGGTTTGCCTGAAATAGATTTGGGTCGTGTTAACATTAATGACAGACTTTTATTTCTCAAAACAGAATACAAACGTTCCCTTACAGTGAGAAATACTAGATACATAAGCTTATAATAACGAAAGAACATCGGAACTATTATACAAATATATCAGAACAAATTCTCGTTTACACAATGCTGTTGCTTACACTTAAAATGTATTACTTAAAACTTGTTGCTTAAATGCTGTTGCTTAGGTTTAGTTGGCATAGCGTCTGGCACGGTTTTCTAGAAGACGTCGTCAGTTGGAATCCAGCCGGATCTTTGTATTAATAATTATAACAAATTATTGGAGTAATTTCACAAAAAATAATTGAATAGCATTCAACATAAATTTAATTACAGTTAATAGCGACATCTCTAGCCAGGGCTGGTCGCTATAAAGGTACCTAATTGGGTGACGAAATAATTTCATAGAATTCTCATAGATGGCGCTGTGGCTAAAAAGTCGTTGAAAACAAAGATCCGATAACAAGCACATAGAAAAATTCGTGAGGTCCGCTGGCACAGTTAATAATAATAATAATAATAATAATAATGTTTATTGTCACAAAAATAGTACAACATTATAATGAAGTCCCTGACTCCAGAGCTAGGTTACAAACCTGTGTGACTGGAGGCAGTGTCCTCTCTCAAATTTTGACAAATTTAGTCTATTTCATTACAATAGGTACAAACAAAAGATTAAAATATGGTAGGTAAACTATCTAACTTAACATTTCCATGCACATTGTTGCAGTTGCAGTTACAGTTGGCTAGGAGACGTCGGTTCGAATCCGGCCGGATCGAAGGAATTTTTTCTAAGTGATTGATTAATAGCGACATGTCTAGCCAGGGCTGGTAGCTGTAAAGTTATCCAAGGTAATACTTTTTTTAAATTTATGTTTAAAAATAACCATGCTAGACATACATCAACAATAATATGTAGGTATTCAGAAATATTTTATTAGTACAACAAGGGGACCATGTTAAGAGTTCATATTACGCATGGACACACAGTTGCTATCAGAGGTACGATTCAAAGCGATTATTGCCCATGGTGGTGTTGTATATTTATTAATTCCATTGTTTAAAAAAAATGGTTTTAAGTGTCTTTTGAATAAAGGGAACGATTCTATTTCTTTGATATGCTTCGGAAGATTGTTATACAGTTTGACACCTGTGTACAGAATATTCTCAATACTGTAGTTGGTTCGTGGTTTGTTCATGTAGGCATAAATTATGGTTATTTCTTTATTGTCTGGAGGTCTACTAATTATACATTTGTGCAAGTGTCATTAATGTGTTTCTGTAAAAGACTCTATATCAAATATGACTCTATAAAACATTATTTCACTATTAAATAAATAGTCCATTATTTTGAGGAATTGAGTGACCTTATTGAATTTTATTTAATTTTAAAAACTCACCTCTCTAGTAGCAGCATGCGCCATCTCCAGCTCTTCCCTTAAATCCATCTCGAGCTCGCGATTTGACTCCACCAGCTGTTCATGGACTTCTTGCAAAGCTTCCAACTCGGCTACGTCTTGTTTTAGTTGTTCCACCTGGAAATTACAGTCATTGTTGCACCATCATGTGTGTCGAAAGATTGTCAATGGCAGGATTTTGTACTGTCGATATTCAGCTAAGTGTTAAGAGTACAGGCTTTTCAGTGGCTAGCCATCAAGCTTATCCAACTGCCATTGCAATTTGTTGATCTTTTTCATTCTTTTTTTTACCGACTTTAAAAAAAGGAGGAACGTCTCAATTCGACTGTATTTTTTATTTGTTTTCTTTGTTATGTTTGCCGGGACACATTTTGGGTCGCAGAGCCAGCAGAGTAAGTATGTATGGTACTCGATTACGGCATTTGTGAACCGATTATGACGATTAGTTTTTTAATTGGAAAGAGGGTACCTTTAGTATTGGTCCCATTTAAATTTGAAGAAAATATTCCACCTCTAAGGGTGGCAAACTCAGGGGATGAATCCGGTTTCGCGCACTTTCCGGTTACCGATCTCAATAAAACTTGGCAAATAGATGTAATTCCAAAAATTGACATAAAATACAAATTTCAAGGTTATATTGCTGGTTAAACCACTAAAAGTACCAGGGGCACAGAAAAAAGCTGAATGTTCCTTACCAGATCTTCAAGAGCCATTTTCTTCTCAGCCAACTGTTCGACCATCTCCTCAGCGCCCAAGGCCGCATCGACTTGTTCCCTCAAATCGGCCACTTGAGCTTCCAGTTCTTCTACCCGAGACGACAGCTTCTCTTTTGTTCTACTCAATTCTGCTATTTCCGACTTGTATTGTTCTATGTCCTGTAAAATATAAAGAAAGGTATTAAAATACGAGTGGGTGCATAAAAACATCACACGAGTATTTTAATGCTTAATTATATGCAGTTACATACGCTGCTTCATCTACACACATATTATAAGCTCTCTATGTTGTGATCAGTAACCGCATGTTACGACTGTCGAAATGGCGGTAAATAAAAACTTTTCTCACGCATGTCACACAACCGTACTTTTTATTTAATTCATAGACAAAGTAAAGTCGGCCCCAACTATCATGTCGTTCGATATCAAGTAACGTGTGAAATTGAACTGAGGATTGAACAAAATCCAGACTTTATTTACAATAATAAGAGATTTCCATATTACATTCTGCCTCCGTGGCCGAACGGTTACCATGCCGGACTGCCACGCAGAGGTCCCAGGTTCGATTCCCGGGCCGGGAGAAATATTTGTATGACCTACATTTATTTCTCTCGTGAGTTTGGATGTAATTTGTGGTTGTCTATGTGTGTGTCCATGGCACCCGCGACACAGGGTTTCCCTAGTGCGGGGCTATGTTAAGTGTGTGCGTTATTATTATTATTATTATTCTTCTTCTTGCTTTGTAAACAATAGGACGCACAGTGTACGATTTGGTTAAACTAGGGAGACAAAATTCGGATATCTAAATATTAGATTATAACTTACCTTTATATAATAAATAAGAATATTTTAATAAATAAAACATAAAATTAAGTGTAATAACAACATACTTTTAATCTTTTAACAATATGCGTATATCTATGTCACGTTTATATATTTGCTTCCGAGGGAGTTTTCTTAATAATGTTATATACGGATCTGAACTTGTCAACAAATGTTTTATTAGATCATAATTTGTTCTGTGTCTTGATATTTTTAACGTATGTCCCAATCTAGCTTTCGGATTTCTTTATTTTTAGCCTCTGAAGCTTCCTCAGACATTTGTCCTATTGGTATTACAGAGTTTTTTATTATACATGCCCCATGTACTAAAATTTTATGTACGGTGACTGGCATGTTATACCAAGCGTATAAACTTATGTAAATTTCTCTTGTCTCGCAACAGTAATCATGAAATTTTCTAACATCAATTTCGTAACCTGAAGCTATGGCAGCTAAAATTGTCCCAAAACGTTGTATCAGTTTTTCATTGATACCAGTAATCTGCGCCGTTGTGGCATAATTATAAAAAAATGCTCGTGCAGTATTTCCGTCATTGCTTGTACCGAAGCCTGGCTTAACTTTGTCTATGATGAGACCAACTTCTTTAAACCTTTTTTTGATATGTTCTTTATTTTTTTTGAAGGTTTTTTTATTCTCATCTCCTCTGACTTGCCACTCACAAATGCCACTGCGATAACTTATGTTTAAAAGACACTCCATTGTACGTATGTACGCATGCAAGCTGGAAATACCAAATTGGTACATACTCTCGTCATCGTCAGGTTCTCTAGCCATTAATGTCGAATTCATCTCCTTTGATGTCGCCTTGCAGATAAAACATCTTTGAGTTGACTTATTTTCAGCCAAGACATTACAAACTTTACCGTCGATCATTGACAGGATCATGTGGTGCGTTATAGTGACGGTTACGCCTCTGATTTCAACGATAAATGGCTCCAACTCGCGTATTTGGTTTTCAATGCCTGTGCATTCTTCTTTGATTAATGCTTCGCACTCTTTCTTATACATGAATTTAATAACTCTGCAAAATCTTGGTGATGATGGTCGAGGATTTTCCCAATTCACCTTCTGTGCATTGTCTTCAAGTCTTATTGGTACTAAAGATATGACGAACATATATTCGTCAGTGCTATCGGGATTTTCAAATGGTTGCTTGTACAAGCTGTGACCCGAAGATCCATCACATCCCCACTTATATATTAAATTATAATCCAACACACTTGTATCTAACCTCTCTCCAAGAATATATTTGCATATTCTCAATGCAGTATGGTTCAATATAGCATTCAAATTTACTTCCGCTGATACATCTGTAACTGTTATATTTTCAACAGCAGGATAGCACTGCTTCTTCACTTGTACTAAATGGTCATAGCATGGGTATAAATTGAACCCCCTTTCTTTTGCTTCTTGTTGAACATTTTTATAATTCTGGACTGTGAAATTATTTGAAATAAAAAAGGCCAAAGCCTCTTCTGGAGTATATGGTCTCTGTTCTTTGCTAGTACTAACAATTTTTCTGGCTTTTTTGTATGTGGTGGCTCGTTTTGGTGAGGCTGTTGATAATTCCTTAATCATTGTAGCGGCATCACGTTTGCCACTAGCTCTGACACTTAATTGTGCAGCGAAAGTCAGTTGATCTTTACTGTAGTCTTTTAATAGATGTTGAACTTTTCTTTTCTTCGATTTTTTAGAACTTTCCACAAAAGTTTTCTGTGGTCTGCCACTGCTAGTACTTGGTTTTGATGCATTTTCTACTGACACAAGCATAGTGAAAGTTAAATCTTCGTTAAGCCATTGCTCATAGTCTTTTAAAAATAGGTCCAATCGTCTTTGCTTGCGATCCCATTTTACACGAATTTTCTCGCACTCCTTTTTTAAGAACACTTTTAACTGCGTGTCCTGTTCTTCGGTAACACTCAAATCACCGAAACTCGTCTTCACGAAGTTGATTACTCGATTTATTCGGCCTTTGGGCGAAGTGGAACGCCAAAAATCAAGTATTAATTTTCGCTTCATTTGGGCACCTGTAAAGAAAAATACAAATAAATTTATAATCGCAAAAAATCGCAAAAAACTATTATTATACGATCAAAGTATATCAAACAAGCAATCTTTTAAAACTACTATTATAGCTTAACTACATTTGACTACATGGTAGATCTCTGAACGAAAATTAATTCGGAGTAAACAAATCTTTTAAATTATGGATCTTTTTAAATGAGTATTACATATTCATCAACATACAATTCGATTTATTTTATTACTAAATTAAATGGATAATTACCTTTACTTGATGACTCCATAACAAAATACCACGTGAAATTACTCAAAACTCCGAAAAACATGTACACACGTTAGCGTTAACGGTCACACTGAGAGGTCGGCCGACTACCTGGCTTGGTTCCGGGAACTTTGCCCATTGTTTAAAACAAGTTGCGGGCATCAGAGGGTTATTTGCTTTGTGTTATCATTGAAAATATGTATTTAGGAGTATAAAAAGATTAGAAAAACGCAGTTTTAAACATTTCATTTAAATACCTTTTGTCCGCCTAGATTAGTCAAATCGTACACTGTGGGACGTTCGGTAACTTTCATTCGATAACTGTGTTATGAATAACGTTTGTGACCTTTGCCGATCGAGAAGTTCGAGTAATTGTACGGGTGTGACGTCATTTCGGTTCGGTTTCGAATACGACAAATAGATTTTCGATTCTGTTATTGTGAATAAAAATGAAAAGAAATCGTTCGATATAAAATCGAATCGGTCGACAACTGAGTTATCGTAAGGTTTGAATCGACCTACTGGACGCGAAGTATGATGCTCTCAAGGCTAAGACAACTGCAGCCATCTTTGATTACTATGTTGACGGTGTCCTTACATTTCGCCACTGTTTGCAAACATTTACCAATAAGATTTTAAGAATTTCGTGGTTATTCACTATATGATTATTCCGATATTTCAACTGTCCAGTGCATGGAATCCGGTCGTTAGTGCGTGCAGTAATAAAAACAAAAACACCTCGAGTTCAGTTTCGCTAGTGGATATAATAAGTATGGTTTGTGTGAAAAAAGTGAGTGACAATGGTAACGCCACAACAAATCGCGATGAAGGTAGTCGTCGACAGCGCAAGAGGGTAGACAGATGTGTCTGCTCTTAAAGCTGTCATCTGCCGCCGTCCAGTCAACCCGTGACCATGGAGCGTGCAACCGTTCCGAAATATCGGGAAAATAAAAAGAAGTGAATAGGCATTTTTTAGGCAAACGCGTCCCATCGTCGGTCACATCGTCGCTTAACATCAGGTGAGATTGTGGCCAAGCGTGTGTCTATTATATATATAAAAAAAAAAGTCATACCGTGGTAAGAAACCTGATATTAGTGATAATCATTTACCAATAAGATTGGCTACTGTAGCCATCTAAGGGTACATGAAAGAGCAAACAACCGTAGCCCTAATTCTAAACAATAGCAGTCGCTGTAGCTGAAATCGGCTAGAACATACACATACACAATGTCTGAAGAGAGCACTTCTGCTCGTCTTCACCATTAATTTTGATCCGTTTACCAGTTTCCGATTTAAATTATGTAACCTATTTAATATTTGTAAAAAATACGGCCCGTTCGGGGTAGGTTCTTTACTGTTGCCACATGTTTCGTTAAGTAGGGGGAGTTTTTTTGAATATTGTACCTGTCTTTTATACTATTTTTATTGTTACAGCCTTTCTTCGTTTCTTCACTTTTACTTTATACAATAAATTCATGTGGACCGAATAATCTATTATTATTGCTCCCTTGGCGGTGAAAATGTTGGTGTCAGAGCATTGCAATTTATACCTTATTTCAATTGAAATAGCATAACATATACATTGATAAATATAATGTCCTCTGCGTTCCCGTCCCCGCAGTGTAAACAGTCACATTTATAGTCGGTCTTTTTTGCAGACGGAGTAAAATTACATTTGCAGGGTTGCCAGTTTTCATAAAATTTTAAATAGTCCTGTAGTAGTTATCGACAGTTTTATTGATAGATTGTGAAAGTATGCCAAAAATGTCTGAAATGGGCCTATATTGATTGGAGTCAAACAAATTCGATTATTTATTGCATGCGTAACCAACATTCAGTCGATAGTCGATGCAATATTCATCGACTGCAAACACTAGCTGCTTGTAAGCGGGCAATGACCTATCATTTCACTCCATCTTCAAAAAAGACAGACTATAAGTAGTAGTTGTAGGAGACTACAAGTAGTAGACAGACCATAGTGTGAATTTTAATTTATATGCTTATAATTTAATATTACATAATAGAATTAATTTAAATTTTCTTCTGACATCAATAGAATTATTACTTGACATTAAAATGTATTAAACATACTAATTAATTAGATTGGACATTTAAATTTTCGTATGCCTTTGTAAGAGGTGCGTCATAGCTGTGTTAATTAAGTCTGCACAGTGCTTCTATTTTCTCAATGTCCCTCGGCAAACAGTGTGTTTCGGCTGTCGTAGGGTTGTAATTAGTTGCCCTTTGCCTTTGATGCAGATCGGGCGCTTTAAGTCGACTTGGATATAATAGATATATATAGATTTATGTAGAGTTGCTATTATATTTTTTATCTATTATACAATGAGAGGATAACCGGTCACAGGCAAGACAGATAATTTACAGCGTGTACTTATATTTTTCAATTACTTGTAAAGAATCCATTAAAAGAAAGTTCGAGCAGCGCCGAAAGTGATTATTCCATCGATGGCGAACATAATGAAGTAGCTATGTCAGATGAAGAAATGCCTTCAGATACGGACTGAATTGAAATGACGGCAAAAATATTCATTATTAGTTATATAAACGAAGTATTATAAGTATTGTTTGCTGATGATACTTCCTTATTATTTAAAGTTAAAAGGCACCAATGTTCCCACGACGATGTGAACAATGCTATATCTAAAGTAGTTGATTGGTTTGCTGTTAATAACCTACTTCTTAATGAGAAAAAAACAAATTGTGTGAAATTTACATTACCCAATGTTAGAGAGACGGTTACAAACATTGTAGTTAGAAACGAAAAATTGAATCTTGTGGATACAGTTGTATTTCTAGGTATAACGTTAGATGCTAAATTGCAATGGGGTCCCCATATAAGTAAGTTATCAAAACGGCTCGGCTCTGCAGCGTACGCGATTAAAAAAATAAGGAAACTTTCAGACGTCGAAACCGCTAGATTGGTTTACTTCAGCTACTTTCACAGTCTAATGACATACGGCATTTTGCTTTGGGGTAATGCCGCCGATATCAATAGAATCTTTGTCCTGCAGAAACGTGCAGTTAGGGCAATTTACAATCTGGGCCCCAAAGTATCTTTGAGAGATAAGTTTAAGGAAATTAACATTCTTACACTAGCCTCACAGTACATTTATGAAAATGTAATTTATGTTAAAAGGAATAGTAATTTATTTATGAAAAATAGTGATAGAAATAACATTAATACGAGGAATAGAAATAAACTAGCTTTTCTTGATAGTCGTCTTCACAAAGTCAAAAAATCATTTAAGGGGCAATGTATACGCTTCTATAACAAGATTCCGGTTGATATACAAAATTTGCCTTTCACGAGGTTTAAAACTATAGTGAAACAAAAACTTTATACTAAAGGTTATTATACAACTTCTGTGTACTTGGATGACAAAAACCCGTTGTAGTAACCCGTTTAGCTCATGGAGGTAGTCTCGATCTCTGATGTTTCAAATAAAATAAAAAATATTGTAAATGTTATTTACAAAGAGCAACCCCTAGAGTTTCTTGCTCATTCTTCTCAGGGGAATCTGCCTTACGAATGAGCGGTAGAGTTTAACCATTGTGACGATTTCAAGTGTAATAATGCTTACCTATGAAATAAAGATTTTTTTGAATTTTGAATTTTTGAAGCACGCTTTATTTACTTTATATTTTGGTTAACTTGCTTACTGATATTGAGTAAATGTTATTAAAAATAGGGAAATAGTTTTACAGCTCTATATAGTTCACATGGAAATCAACTAAACTAAAACTAAACAGCAATAAGGTACGTTGTTCAAAATTCAAATTATTATAGATTTTAAATGTAATAATTAATGGGTAAGAAAATTAATATTCATGTGCATTCGGAAATACGATGATTACCGAGGGACATTGAGAAAATAGAAGCACTGTACACCCTATCATGTTATGACCTACGATGTCAAATAAACACATTGATTGATTGATTGAAGCGATAAGTTACTTGCGAGTCTCGTATGACATTATCGTAGATGAGATTTTAGTTCTTGACTTGACCTTCTTAACCTTCCAACCCCTTACAATTTTTGGAAAAAATATTAAATCCCCAAGTCTCTCGTGCCCAGTGGGATGGATGGTGGATATATAATTAGATTGATTATGTTATATACCTTTTGCATCTTCTGCATAGCATATTTGTCATGCGCCGACAGATCCCTGAGTCTGACCAAGGTGTCCCTCAGTCTGACGTTCTGCTGCTGCAGCTGCCGCATTTCGTATCCGGTCGCGCCAGCACCCTCGGCTGCATACGGATGTTCTGCTCAGAGCCGCCAAAACGACCAAGACAAACAAACATGCAAACATACACTCGTGATAATAACAAAAAAAATGAAAACTAGCAGAATTCCCCTCGTGTCAATTTTTCTGTCGTGTCAAAACTACCTTTAGAATCAGTCTCTGTAATGTCAACTTTTTCTATTGGTCAAAAATCGGGTCACTTGTGGCAAATTTATGTCCTGTCCTTCATCTTGAATTTCACATATTTTGAGTTATAACACTATTGTTATAACAGTGCAAAGTGTCAAAGTATTATTGTCAATATATCAAAATTGAATATCATTTTTATTTTATGTTATGTGTAAGCGACACGCCTGTCCATAACAGTTGCAGTGCCACTCAGAGCTTTAAATCGCTAAGATCTGAGGGTCACCGCCGCTGCGCCCGTCACCCTAAGACATGAGCTGACAAGTCCCACGTGCCTGTAATTCGAGGTGTAATATACTCTTTTTTTTTGTATACGAATATAAGAGCGTCAGATGTCAATGCATTCATTTCGATATGTCAAAGTTTTAATGTCATGTACTTCGAGGGTTTCAAACATAAAATAAGACATGCAAGTTCATACAAAGACTTAACACATTCACTTTAAAAATATTTTTTTTTATTCACACTTTTGAGAAATAAGTAATAACAAATATGTATATATAGGAAATGTGCCATGACCATCAAAACCATTTTATGTACACTGTGTGCAGTAAAAGAGGTAGCAAGAGCGCGTTTTTTATTTTTGTCCATAAATAAAGCTGTGAATGTGTTAAGAGCATGCCATAAAAAAATAATTAACATAAGAATAAATAAGAACTATCCGAACGAAACACTTGTGGACCCGTCAAAATGCAAGAGCTGGTATAATAAAAAAAAATCGAATTTTCTTTTTTTTGTTATTCCGATCAGGGCTGCTGACGCGGATGCTGATTTCGTATATTAAAAAAAACTGTAATAACTCCGTCCAAAAAATACATCCGTAGGGCGCATTTATTAAATTTCATCGCGCGTGGAGTCCGCGTTGCCACCGGGCAGCGACCTCGTGTCTCTAACTGTCATGGCAAAATACGCTCTATTTATTAGCGTTTACGTTTTAACTTAAATGAGCGTCCCGGGCAGGCGGGCGAGTCTCAGTTTAGTTGATAAAGCAAGTTTACTTATCGTCCACTAACAAAAACGCGGGTATGTGACCAATGCTCAAATCGACCCCTCCTACGTAAAGTATCGTATGTCGAAATTGCCAAGTTTACAGGGAAGCGTTTTAAAATTCTCCGTTTTATTCGGCAAAGCTCGTTACTCCAATAGAGTGATCATCTAATACATCATCTAACCGATATCTAGGATTTTATAATACTCTATGTGAGTAGCGAGCTTTGTCGAATAAAACTGAGAAATGCTAAAGTCACGTGTCGTGCTTATTTTAGTGAATTCAGAATATTTAAAAGGCTCCTCTGTAAACTTGGCAATTTCGACATACGACACTTAGCCGAATTTTAGTTAGCGGACGCCAGTTATTTGGTAATGAACTATTGTTATACATTTTGAAGAACAAGGACAACGATATGAAATTGCGTATATATCTTTGTCGTTTAATCATCGCCGCGGAAACGATGAAACAAAAAATGGTGGATTTTTGTAGTGTCTGTTTTTATACATTTTACAATATATTAGTTATTATTTATGTATTTGTAATTACACTCATGTATTGAACTGTATTAAAAATGTCCTCCTCCAATTTTTCCAATAAATTAAATATATCAATTTGTTTGTTTTTATTATTTCTTTTCATCTCGTTTGTCGCGCTGAATTTTTAAATTGATAAAATTACTGTGCAGAACTGTGAAAATGTTTTAAAATCAGCTGCGACCTTGGAGCCATGTTTGGCACTGTGTTAATCTTCTGCAGTCATTGGTCGCGGCACTCGCGATAACATAAAAATGTGACGTCACGGTGTTCGCCATGTTAGCTATTGTGATAAAATTTTATCACAATAGCCGGTTTATCACTCGAATTTGATAGCAAAATTTGGATATAATGGCTTTATCACGGCGGCATGCTATGGAGGCTGAGGTCGTTACTTTTCAGTTCTCGAGAGTGTCAGCGCAATAGTGTCAGCGCAACACAATTAGTAATCGTTAGAACGTTGTTACATTCACAATACAATCATTTTTGGCAAAACCTACTATCACAATGTATCGATAAAACTGTCGACAACTACTCTGCAAATGTAATTTTACTCCATCTTCAAAAAAGGCATTGAGCTGCTTTTTCGGCTCGCATTCTATTTTTGGAAAGCGTAAATTATTGCAAAATACCTGTCAAGTACTGTAACGACTCAAATATCCGCAATTTATATCAACATCAATGCGGAGACTGATGCAGATGCAGATATTTTAATTTATGCAAAGAACCCTGATTCCGATTACCGCGGTGACAGTACCTTGCGGGTACAGGGTGACTCTAACGAAGCGGGAGGAGTGCTCAAGTTCCACAAATGTTTCGTTCAAATTGTATGTCTAAATGATAATAAATAAATGAATCTAGAGCAGGAAGAAACACAAAGTGCTTTAAAAATATATAATTATATATAAGCATACGTACACGCAACATATGAGTATGTCGTTCTATAAAATAAATAGAAAAGCCTAATAATAAAACGTAAAATAAAACACATAAGCTCATATATATAATATAAAAAGTAAAATTTGGTAGTTTTGTGTGCTCTGTCTTTGTAGAACATTATTAATTATAATGAAAATGTATAACAATGTTAGACGTCCGCTTTTATCCCAAAAGTTTTTGTTAAAAAAATATAAACCATAAATTTTTATGTAAGCATGCAAAATTCGTCGTATCGTTTTACATTTTCGTCACAAAGATATAATCATATAATCACGTTATTGCTGCGTCATTGCATTATCTCAATAAACACAATTTTATAATTTACATTTTAACATAAATTGCGAACACGCAATCATCACAGCAAAAGGTAAAATTTGCAATAATAAATATTAGCAATTTGTGTAAATAAAGTTTAAGAATCAGAACTCTCTTTTCGACCGTATCTTTATCGAGAGCTACAATCTCTTTATGAAAAACTGACATCTCCATTACAAGAGCTACTATCTTTCTCTCTTTGTCGAAAGTTACAATCTCTTTATCGAGACCAAAAATCTCTTTATCGAAAGCTAATATCTCTATTTCGAGAGCTTAAGGTCTTTCACTCTTTGTCGAGAGCTACACTGTTTATCAGTAATTTTCAGGTAAATTGTTTGTATTCAATTTTGGTGACAATTTAATTACTCGAATATCTATCTCCCTTTGTCGAAAGCTATCATCGTGAAATATTAAAGAATATTTCAGGTTACTACACTCGAATATTAAATAATACTTCATGATGATATTCCATAAATATGTAAATAAAAAGCAATTGTCACCAAAATTGAGTACAAAAAACTTACCTAAAAATTACCCTTAACCAGAGCTAACGTTTCTATATTCAGAGCTACCTGCTATCTATGTCCCTTTGTCGAAAGCTACCATTTCTTTATCGAGAACAACAATATTTTTATCGAAAGCTAACATCTCTATTTCGAGAGCTACTTACTATCTTTGTCTCTTTGTCGAAAGCTACTATCTCCATACATTGAGTTACAATGTTCTTATAGAGAGCTACCATCCCTTTGAAGAGAACTGCAGTCTTTGTGGCAACTTTGACCTTATGGATCTCTTAGCATAGCAAAAAACTAAAAAATACTCACGTATATTACCCCCAGCCTCCAACTCAGCTCTCATGAGCTGCAAATCGAGGGTAGCCTCCTCCAGCTTCTCCCTGCACTGTTCTAACTCCAGAATTAGTGTCTCAGCTCTTTCCTCAGCCATCTCTTTGTCTAGAGCTGCCATCTCTGCGGCCTCTTGGATTTCGTAAGTCTCCTCTTTGTGTGCTTCAAGTGCTTCTTGGGCTTCTCGGACCTTGGATAGCAGAAAAAATGTATAAATAATCATAACTAGTGGAGTTATTGCAACAAAAAACCTCAATAATGCATTTGGTCAAAAAGCGATATCGACGTCAGTTGAGGCGCCTGTAAAGGTACCGGCTGCGGTGACAAGGTTCAAAAAGTCTCACTAGATGTCACTAGCGGCGACGAATGCCGAAAGCCAGTACAAAGATCTATAAAAGAAACACATACAAGAATTTCGACAGCTCGATAATTTGACCTGTGGCTCAGTTGGTAAGAGCAATGCTACGATGCAGCACGGCCATGGGGTAAGTGGCCACCGGGTCGAAGGAATTTTGCAATATGTTCAATCTTGGAATTAATAATCGTCACAAAACTAATGAAGTTATTTCAAAAAAACCTCAACAATACAAATGTAGACCATTAAATGCACGTCCACATTTGTCAATTTACTACATTATCTTTTAACGGTTTCTATCTCTCCCTCTTATAGTCTCGTAATCACAAAGAGTACATACCTCCTGCTTAGCTCTCTGCAGATCTCTCTGCAACTGCGCCTGCGACTCCATGATTTTGCTCTTGAACTCATTAGCTTGCTCCAGCTGTAATTTGACTCTTTCGAACTCCCGAAGTTTCTCGCGGTCTTCTGCTCTCTTAACTCTGAGAGTCTCCAGCTTCTCTTTTAAGTCTTCTACTTCAGACTTCAGTTGGGTTATCTGTAATGTGAAATAAAAAAATAACAACTATAATAACAGCTGAAAATATTAAGGAAGAAATATTACTTAGACTGTTTTTTCTTAAAGACTATGTTATTCACCATCCTGCCTACCTGTAAAATACATAACCGTTCCGTATGACGTCACTTACCAACTTTATTGTTTTGGTAATTTGCTGTTATTTTTGTAAATAGCCATATTTATTTACTAATATTATGTTTCCCGAATTTTATGAAAAATAAAATAAAGAAAAAAGATAAAATCCGAAAAAAACAAAAAAACGAATTGTGTGAAAAAAAACAAAAACCAAAATAAAAACAGAACAGTCAGTTAAAGTCATTGCCCAGTGATTGTTCTTTTCATAAAATATTCAAATTTTTAAGGCCTTGGTGGTTTGTGCTGTGGGCTGTAAAATTGAGTTGTGTTACAGGCCTACCGCTTAAGTGAGTCGGTCCCTGAGGTAGCTGCACGGTGCGTGAGTAGTGACAGTTTATGAAACAGTTACGTCGTGCTGCACACGGGATAATTTCAACAAGATTTTTCCGACGATATTCAATAATAAGTTTATTGAAAAAAGTGCCTGTCAAATTAGTCAATTCTTTTTATGTGAAACGATAGTAAAAAAAAAACTATTTCATTGATAATTGAAATTAATATACAAGCCATTTGACATTTTGTTTTAATCAACTTTTTATTGAATATCGTCAGAAAAATCTTACTGAAATTATTCCGTGTGCACCTCAGGAACTCTGTGTAGTTTACTATTTAAAAGGTGTTAGGCGCACAAAACTAGGGTTCTCGATTCAAGATCAGTTAGTTTATGTGGTTAGCTGACCTCATCGAGTATATAACCAGAAATACAGAGGAAATAAGGGCCATTGATTACCTTACCATACATTACATTACAAGGCTTTTCTGTCTTTATATGAATCAGCTGATCGATGAGCTAAGTAACACCCGAGCAGGATGCTCAGTCGGAGGCCAGTGTTTTAATAACATTAGCTACGCTGACGATATGGTTTTGCTGAGCCCATCGGTATGTGCCCTTAGCAAGCTGTTAGACACGTGTGAAATGTACGCGGAGACTCATGGCCTCAGATATAACGCTAGTAAAAGTGAACTTTTGTTATTTAGAGCCGGCACAAAAACATATAATATAATACCACCAGTCGAGTTAGGAGGTGTCACTTTGAAAATTGTTTCAAAATTTAAGTATCTGGGGCACTGGGTCACCCCGTCGCAGTCTGACGACCTAGACGTGGAGCGGGAGCGTAGAGCGTTATCGGTAAGAAGTAATATGTTGGTCCGCAGGTTTGCAAAATGCACAACAAGTGTTAAAACTACCTTGTTCAGAGCTTATTGTCAAACTTTCTACACCTGCAGCCTGTGGATCAATTGTACTAAGAAAGCTTATAGCGCACTACGTGTCCTATACAACAATGCGTTCAGGATGTTGATGGGGCTGCCGCGTTACTGTAGTGCGTCAGGGATGTTTGCGGAGGCGCACACGGATGACTTTCATGCCGTCATGCGCAAGCGAGTCGCGTCCCTGATGATGCGCGTGCGCGGCAGCGCCAACAGCCTTCTGAGCGCGGTGGCCAATACAAATGACAGCCCTATACTCAGTCATTGGACGAAGTCGCATGAGTCGCAGATTAGGTGAGGGAGAATCTGGTAATTTTCCCCCATTTCTCATGTGAATTTTTATTTTATTTTTATTTTTGTATATTAATTGTAATTTAATTTTATTTTCTGAATTAAACATGTGAAATCACTAACATAGCTCATAAGGTCATTGTTACTAACACATATGGATGTAAATCTGAAATAAATGTATTATTATTATTATTATTATTACCAGGAGGTAACTCATCAGTGATACATCACTTATAAATATCAACTCTTGTTTGCACTGAAATAAAGACAGGGCAACAACTGACCTGTGTGTTCGTCTCCGTATATTCCAAAAATATTCTGTATTTATTGTAATAAAGATAATAACTCTAACAATGCCGTGCTGTTCTATTCGGTGGTGTGGCAAAACAGCAAAACATCTAATTATAAAACAAACGTAATCAAATTTCAACGGTAATTAAATATCAAATATGTAATTTTGCAATTTACGTCCATTATAGCAAAGCTCAAGTTAACTGGTCGATTTGAAGTGAAACAGTTGACGATACCCATTAACGACACTCGTCAATTGTTTCGAACTCGGGCTGGCCAATCGGAGCGCAGTTGTCACAGTAATGATAATGCAGAATAGTTTTCAAACAAATTAAATGACATTTCGTCTCTATTTCTGGTTATATACTCGATGGCTGACCTATACTTTGATACCATGATTAATTTA